AGGAACAACGAAAACGTTAGTCTCCAAAATAAACAAATCAGCTAGGCCTACCATGACTACACAGCTAGCTAGGCTAGGTACACTGGTACAGATTCCCAGATGGGCTCTCTATCGTCCTCTGGGACATAGTTACATTACTTTTTAAAAAAACACCTTATCACTGATGGTGCAACCCCATTGAAGACGAAATGAACCGATATATACATGTACATCCTCGAAATAGCTAGACAGTTCCCTCACGAAACGACGGAACCCTGCAAACCCTCACTATCATTAACGCAGAGCTTTAAATGACATTCACCCAATTCCGACACTCACCAACCAACACACTGAAATCCATGAAAACAAATAATCAAAAGAAAACTACTCACCCTTGTCAACTACCAAGTTCAGCTTTGATTCACATTATCCTCCTGTATTCGAAAACATTGTGACGCTGAGTACCAACTCCAAAAGAGGCCTTTTCAGGGGGAGATAAGTCACAAATCCCTCCGAATGCACAGCTGTGCATGTACGAATTTACCGCGCATGTATTATGTATGTGAAGACATGTTTTATGTATGAAGGATTCCTCAACGTCACTCACTGATTGGTCTGTTGAGCGAGGGTCTTCCTCAACAGGGCCCATTGATTGGTCTGTTGAGCAATACCATGTGCTCAACAAGACTCAATGATTGGTCTGTTGAGCAATGAGTAAGTCCTCGGCTGGAAGACCGCCTGGGAATACTGGGCATACCGCAGCCGCGGTCAAAAGAATCCCAGCCTTAACAGGTTAACATTTTTGAATCTCTGTAAAAGGAGGAACGTTTTGCAGTATATACATATTAGGCATGAAACAATAAAGTGAATTTAAGAAACATGAAGCTGCCATACATGTTATTCCAGGAGATGTTCGTATTATGTTATCTTTATCATGTATCTTCAACCTTTGCAGCATGCTTTGTTGATTTTACTTCGTAAGTGGTTAATTGTATGTATTTAAATTAAAACTAGATAGGTAGATGAGATAGAGACGTTTCAAATAAATATCCAGTTCTGTATTTACTGAAGAAATTTGTGTCATGGTTGGTGCTAGGATTGCGGAAAATGATTATGTGTCGTATTTTCCAGTGGAATCATTGTATGGATACTGGATATTGTGTTAAGCCCTGATTGAGATTCTTCTTAATACAGTTGAGTGCTTTAGAGAGGTACTAAAGGGATTGAGGAACTTAAGAGTCTAGGACCCAAGATGCTGTTATTCAACAAGGGGCGAGAGTTGATGCCCTATGAATGCTGAGGCACCTCAAGAGCGTGTTCTGTAGCACACTGGGAGCATTTGGTGCTAATTGTGTAAAGTAAATCCCGAGATTTGCATTTGTAAGAGGGAGCCAGTTCATTATTTCAAAACGGGCACGGGCAGTCGAGAACAAAGCATGCTTGCGAGGTGGCGTGTGGCGTAGGATAGGGCAGACCTCGTGTAGGCACTTGTTGCTGTTCCCCTGAATGATGTGGGATGTGCTTCAACCTGGGCATGTGTTGGTACTGTTGGAATACTGAACTGGCTCACTGTACAATCTTCCTTGCCTTAATGGCAACACATGTATTAAAGTGCCTGTGTACTTATATTGCATGGGTCCTGGTTAACAAGATGGACTATTTGAACTTGAATTAGGTTTAATGAAAAGAAAAGGAGAACAAGCTCATTATGCAGAATTTTCTTTAAACATAGTTAATGCTGAAAATAAATAAGTTTCCCTACCCATTTGTGTGACAGAGTTTTGCAGGGCCCGTATAACGTGGAGAAAGATTTCAAAGTTTTACATGGTGTGAATTTTCCAACCGTTTGAAGTCAAGCAGCTTTTGCCAGGTTTGAAATGTTTGCATTGTCTACACCACCATTTTCGTTTCGATGAGTTTACTTAGAAGCATTGAATTATTTTACTAATATTTTTAACTATAAGAGGAATGGTTCTTGGTGTTTATTATTGGTGTATACGTTACTCATGGTTGGTTGTTAGTGGAGCCGTTTTTAAACCAACATTTGTTATGTATTCTATTTTAATAATTGGCTTTAAGAAAGATTGTGACAATTACCCATCGTCATGAATACTTTCCTAAACATTATTGTCAAAAACATGAGAAAGGAGATGGTTGTGTGATGTTATTATGAACCACTGAAGTTAGAGTTTGTGGAGGATAAAGGTATTAAAGTTTTCTTCATTTCAAGTGAAACCATTAAACCAAAAAGATTTATGTGGGAATTGAAATTGTTATTGCACATAAAGTAATTGTTAGGTTTGTTGTGTCGATGGCTGAGAATCAATTATCAATCTGTTTTTTTTTTACATGTGTACATACATTCAAATGTGATAAACAGGAAAGCAGATCGGTTGTCTCGATATAAACAAACTTAAATTGAGGCATTTGTTTTGATGATACCCATTCACTGCCCATTTGTGACCCTATCCCATTAAATGTACGTGAAGGTCTTTTCTTTCCACTAGGAATTTGGTTTTAGTTTTCAGTAGTGGAGCAAACCGAGTGTATTTGATTTACTACTGTTTTGATGTCCTGAAGAAAGACGTTAGTTGTATGTGGGGGAAACTGTCTTGAAGTTCCCTATTGGTTTGCCTCGAACTCAGAGGCAAACTTTATTTTTATCAAAGTGTTACAAGCAAGATGTTTGTAGTTGTTAGATTTCAGTAGATGAATGTTCTAAGAATTGTTGAGTCTTTGTTCAAATATTGTACTTCTGGAAATACCACAAGTACTTTTTGCTTGATTTCATTGGAAAGTTTGTGTTTTAGGCACTGGCTTGAGAATGTTGTGGTTAATTATTTTAATTCATAAAGAGGAACGATAACAATTTTTGCTTGTGAAATGTTTTGAAGTGTATTACCTACATTAGCAATTACATCATACATGTACTTTGAAAAATGGAATAGTTTTTTGTCTGAGAAAAAAGGAGCATGTGACGTGCATGTAGTTTGCTGTGATATACTTAGCAAGGAAAGTCATGTTAACTTTGAACTTTTAAGTTTTAAGTGGTGTCTTTTTCTAGTACAAGAGTATGGTCAAATTCACAATGTGCTCTTTCCTTTCGTAATTTTTGAAGCATTTGACTCTCGATTCTATATAGCCTTGTCAGTGATACTGCAATTCTCAGAACTGTATGTAATTTCCAATATTCATAAGTTTATCCTCTAGCTAAACTAAGTTTGTTTTTATGTCTTGCATTAAATTATGCACGATTACAAAAATAACGTCCGTGTTTCTTACACGTGTTTTAATACAGACTGCAGTGTCCTCAGCTTTCTATGTTTCGTCTCAAATCTTTATTTACATGAATTTCATCAATGTGAGCTTTTTCTTATATAGTTGGACGGATATTCAAATTTTAAAATTCTAGTTTCAATTACAATGCAAAGTTCAAAAGTTTAAATTAGGGCTCTGCTATTAAAAAAAAACAGGAAGAATTTGTCATTTATGTATCAAAGGAATTCACTCGCGGCTACCAGGAATAATGTACATTAACATTTATGTATATACAAAATATCTACAATGAAAACAGTTTGTTTCCCCAAGAAAACATGGAAGTGAAATTTTCATAGCAAATTTTAAAATTTCTGCAGTTGCAATGGCGTACTTCAGAAATGCACGCATTAACAGCTGACAATTTTGCAGGCAATGCAACAAAAGTGGCACTTGAGATTCGAAGCTGGACGGCAGAAAATTCGGAAGAAAAAAGCACCTCTGGGTGAAACTTAACGCACCTTTACCATTGGACAATAGTCAGTCCTACATGTATATATCTGACAGAAATTCCAAAATTGAACAAGTTCCAAGGTCAAAAACTGCACCAAATAACGAACACCTTGTCTACTTTTATGAAAACTCGACAGTCCTTGTCAGGCACAAGTTACACATGTTCACCTACATCATGACCTCGTTAATACTGCTTATAGTAAACATTGTGGTCTCACAAACTATGACAAACTTTCAATCCAACAGTGCCATCTGTGGTTTACTTTAACAACTTTTTCTTCCTGAGTAGAGGGTTCAAAACCAGTAATCTAATGATAGTCACTACCACAGAGTTCCTCCACATATCAAATCACGGCAGCAAGAACAAATACTGGTTCCAGTAATTTGTGAGAAGGGGACGTTTTGTGCACTACACAAAAACAACTCAACTACACTATTTGATTATGAACAAGTTCTGAGAATCTTCACAACGGCCAACTTTTGAAACAACACTGACACTGCACATCATATGGATAAAATTCACTCTTAGGACTTGCTTTTTATGGAAGCAGCCCTCTTTGGAAACATCCGCAAAAGAAAAATTCAACTAGACCAGAAAAGTGTGCAATTTGAGAACCAGTCATCATTGTGATGCGATTATTGCAGAGATGCCCCCCCCACACACACACACACTGTCCTCGCCCACCGATACCAAGGAACCGTTAAACAGGAGATCTTTTCTACTGGAAGAGTGAAGCAGCAGGTGCTTCTATTCTTCGCTCCACTTCCTTGCAGTACTTCTCGGGAACGCCAGCATTTCTGCAAAATTCAAAAGAAAGTTGGAAAGTTTATACGAATCGTGCTTCAACAATTATTAGTGTTCGCTGATTCTGTAGACGGTGGCAGAACATTCACAAAGCAATATCAGAATCACCTAGCCTATACCTCCCGGATCCAAAGAATCCAAGCTGCCTAAGAGAATGCCTCTTCGCCCTAATACCCTCTCATGAACTTGTACTGTCCTAGAAGTATCCTTAACTCCTAACCGATCCCCCTCAAAGTCCATTCTCACCACCATCGACACTTCTTGAATCTCTTCAACAAACTTCCTAAAAGCAATCCTGACTCATTGGGATGGCGGTGCTGCAGTCCAGTCCCTCACAAGTCCCTGCAAGTCCATCACAACTAGGTCCACAGCAGCCCAACTCACAAGCTTATTAAATAAACTGCGTCAGTTTTCCTTTGTCACTGCTCATCTTGCTACTCACGACTGGTAGAAGGACTTGTAACTGGGCTTGTGAAAGGACTTGTGACTGGGCTTGTGAAAGAACTTGTGACTGGTCTTGAGAAAGAACTTGTGACTGGTCTTGAGAAACAACTTGTGACTGGGCTTGTGAAAGGACTTGTGACTGGTCTTGAGAAAGAACTTGTGACTGGTCTTGAGAAACAACTTGTGACTGGGCTTGTGAAAGGACTTGTGACTGGGCTTGTGAAAGAACTTGTGACTGGTCTTGAGAAACAACTTGTGACTGGGCTTGTGAAAAGACTTGTGACTGGGCTTGTGAAAGAACTTGTGACTGGTCTTGTGAAAGGACTTGTGAGTGGGCTTGTGAAGCGACCTGTGAGTGGCATGGGCTTGTGAAAGAACTTGTGATACTTGACATCAACATTCCAGGTTAGCTTAATCTCCATTCTTGTAGCATCGAAGTATTCATGAGATTTCTACTCCTGCAACTACATAGGAGGCCTGTCTCTCAAAATGAACTATAGAATTACCCCCAGGGTTCCTACTAAACAAGGATATAGCCATTCACATCAAAGCTGTCCCTAAAAATAACCTTCAGATGGTGATGATTTCCATGCCATTTTCATGACTTTTTCCCCATGTCAATTTGATTCTGGGGCACCTCATCTTCCCCAATTTTTCTAGAATATATCATGACTTTTAAAAACAACTTTTTTCTAGGATTCTCCATGACCATGGAAACCCTGTACCCTTTCAAATCCGAACAGTGACCTGACAGGCTACCTTCCACAGGGATCACCTTCCTCACCTGAGTTCGTTCAGCTTCTTCTGCTTGATGGTGTCCAGCTTGTTGCGACGGGCTCGGGCCTCCTCGTTCAGCCGCACCCCTTCCTCAAAGAATGAGTGGCGATCCGACACCTTGAGCTGCTCCTTCTCCCGGATCTGTTTGCGGACGTCCTCGGCGTGCCTCAGCCGCTTCTCGTGGTGCTCCATCTCTTCCTGCTTTTCCTTCTCCATGGCTTCGTTCTGTGCGCTGTTGGTCAAGAAGCAAATCCCTATCAGTTGCGTAAATCGTAAAATCGCTAGACTAAGGAATGCTGTCATTGTGTCTAGTTCCTTTTAGTAGCATGGTATGGGACGGACTAACTTGTGATGGACTTGAGTGGACTGTGATGGACTAAACTACATCGCTGAATAAGGCATCCGTTCAAATAAAAAATCATTGATCAACCTTGCTCAATCACGTTAGCCCTCAATTTAATCTCTGGACTATACGCTGATAAATACTCTTCAAATTTGAGGGAGACTCACTTGAGGACGCGCTCAAACTCGTGACGTTCCCGCTTAGCCTGGACGGCCAGGAAGTGCTCCTTGTTCTGCACCTGCACCTCCCGGGCAATCTTTAGCATCTGCTCTGTCTCTGCCTTCTTGCGGGCCTCTTCTTTCTCCTTCTGCCTCCACTCCCGCTCACGCTGCTCCTGGTTGCGTTTGGCTCGCAGTGCGTCTTTCTCTGCCATGTAGTCCCGGGCTCTCTCCTGTTGAAACAATACAATCTTCAGCTGAATGGGTCCCAAAGCAGTCACAATGATTTCTGGCCGACCTTGCCACTTCACAAGCCAACTTCAGAAAAGCTTGCAAAGCGCTGTGCTTAAACCCAGGTATCTCTCGTAACCACAGGTTTTAACGGCACTTGTCACTTTCCGTCAGTCTCTTAAATGAAAGATTATTGTTTGTGTCCTTGAGCAGGATGCATTACTACGATCATCTGTTACTACCCAAGAATAGCTTAGCCATAACAAGCACACTTTCATGTCTGGTATGTGACCGACTTCCAATCACATTCTCAAAGAATGCTCTCTCATCGTGCCGTTTGTGTGTGAGACATTCTTACTCACGCTTTCCCTTGACTCAGCCCCTCACGTCTCCGTACTGTACCTGCATGGCACGCAGCCGGGCGATCTCCTTCTCCTTCTCCAGCCGAATGCGCTCCTGCTCCGCCTCAAACTCCGCCTCTCGGGCCGCCTTCTTCTTGGTGTACTCGGCCACCTTCAGGTCGGCCATCTTCTCCTGCTCTTGGCGGCGGATGCGCTGCTCCTCTGCTTCCTTGTTGGCCCGGGCGATCTCCTTCTGGGCTTCCAACGTCATCTGGTGCTTGCGCTCAAGTTCCTGTGATGAAAAAAAAATTAAGGAGACCGTTATTTCCAAGCAGCAGTTCTTAAGAGTTAAACCTCAAGCAGAGAGTTCCTAGTAAAAGTAAAGTCTACCTTGATTATGCCAATATGGGCTATATGGCCATTATTTGGCCACTCAGGAGAGAAATCCCAAATATGGAACCCATTCTCGACAAGAATTCCTCACATACGGTCTGGGTCTGTCAGCTGTTGGGTTTCATTGTCTAAGACAAGAGCTCTCTGAAACATTATCTAATGAATTTCTTGTTTACTGTTCTTTGGACACAAATTATTCCAGTCATGCCTACAGGGAAGAAGAGAGCAGATTAAATATAATCTCACAATACCAGTTCGATATTCCAACTATGCATGCCCAAGTGATGTGCATCCAAGGTCATTTGAGGTCTGCCATATCGCCATATGTCAACCTTGCCTTTTGAAGTACTGGGCTCATTCATAGATTAATATTTTGAGTGGAAAGGTTTGCGGTAGCACCATGCAAAGATCTTATTTGTGAGCATGTGCAGTTCTGAAAAGAACTGGAGGTTACTTAACGTTTCGGACAACATGCTCTGTCTGTCGTCAGGAGGCTCCTGACCACACATACTCACTGAAGAGAAATCTTTGCAATGGTGCAATCGCAAACCTTTTCACTTAACTTGCCACCTTTACCATGAAAAGCTTTAGAGTTCGTCAGGAAAGTTTGTTAATGTAGGGAGTCAGGTTTTACTGGTCATGTCTGTGTGTGCTATATGCACACGCTCGTAGGATCCACTTGTATCCACATGTATTCATATGCTTTGTTTATATTTTGTTAATGCTTGACTGGTAATGCATTATTCATAGAGCACGGGAAGGAGCCAATGACATCACTATGCCTCCAGCCAAATTCAAATGATTCTTGATACCTTGCATTCATTTCAGTTAGCATCAATATATTCTTGTCCCACTGATTATTGTGCTTTACTGGGGAGTCGATTCCTTCCATTTGAAGGTGAACACTGAGTGCACATGATAATCAATTACACGAGGCATGAAGGTTCTGTATTTCTTTTTGTGAAGGACGAAACTCTTATTTTTGGGGTTCAGCTTCCGCCTCATTTTGCTGAGTTGTGAGCCTTGAAAACCCTTTCGAAGGAGGAATCAGGTAATTTACATGTTCCAGTGATTCACTGAGAGAGTAAAGGGTTGATATTTAGATATTTGGGCTTAGATTTATACGATTGAATCATGGCCGGTGTCAATATATGAGCAGGGTCATTTATGGAGCACTGTGCCATGGCAGTTCTGTACATGCGATAAAGTTGCTGTGCAGCCAATTTCACACTCTGTGTGCCTTCGCTTGCCCTATCGCATGTTGTGCGCTGTGCTGCAGTTAAATTGTCACTGTACATTATGCTCTGTATATCGATTATGCCATTGTGCTGTCATTGATAAGATTGTGGGGTATTGCCGTGTGCTATTTTTGTAATCCATTTTCATTAGGCAGTGAACCAGACACTGGTATTTGTCGCCAACCGCTCCTGTGGTTTGCCTATTAAATTCTAATGGAGTCTGACCTACCTTCTGAGGATAAGAGGTTATTTTGATTCAATTTCTATAATCACAGCTCAATATATTTCTAGGTGTTTGAGTAACACAAAAGAGTTTTGTCATTTGTACCATTTTGTAACATACATTGTACTCTTAGCAGTCCATTGTCACTAATTCTAGTCTCATCTTCTGTCAATAGGGTTTTTGATTTTCCACTTTCTTAATTTTGGTGGGTTTTATCTATTGCCCAATAAAACTAATCATCATTATAAAACTAATAATCATATAACAAGAAGTGTCTGTCAGTTATTCTGGGACCACAGCTGGGATCTCCAATCACTTGAGGAGGTCTAGACCACACTCACCCGCCCCCTTGCATCTTACTTCATTCAACCATATCTTGGGAGGGTGCCACCGGCGAGGCCGCTTCCTTAATCCTGTATGGATTGAACTCTCCAGACCGAAACGATGGCATCATTTCTGGAAATGATCAATCCGTTGCTATGGCGACTCACCTTCAAGTCCTCCAGCTGCAGTTTCTCCAGGTACTTCAGCATGTGCTGCGCTTCTTGGTCTCGACGCTCCTGATCCAACAACCGCTCCTCCTCCCTCTGGGCAATCTGGGTCAGAACCTGCTCTGCACCCCTGGTGAGTAGAGAGTACGGAAAACCAAAAACTTTACCCTTTCAGCCCTCCATGCTCTCGGTATTTCGACACAATTTCTGGAACACCTATGGTAAGAAAGCCTTACTGAGGTGTCTAATCAGAAGACCCTAACCACACCCAATCAAGAGCACTTAGGCTAAAATTCCTTGGACTTGAAGCAGGAATTAAAAATGGTGCTGCGAGTCATGTTGTGAATTAGGTACATAAAGCACATAAATTTTCAACTGATGGAGGAAGTGTTTTCCTCTGTGATCATAATTTATGTTGGGCATAAATGGTGGAGTTGAAACCTATGTAATCCCACGACTTTCGCAGTTATTCAAAACCCCAGAGTGAGATTAGACTGCGCGGCCCCTCCTTACTCGTATCTCTCCGTCTTCTTCTGGTTTTCGATCTCTTCCTGCAGCTCTAGCGCCCTCTTGCGTTCCACCTCCATCATGATGTCCAGCCTCCTCTCTTCCTCCTGTTGTTCCTGCTTGACCTGCTGCTTCTCCAGGATCTGGGCATCGCGGATGGCGTGGCACTTGGCATTCAAAATCAGCTGCGAAGGAGGGGAGACGACAATAACGAGATGCATATAACTCACAGCAGTCAGAGTTATTCTACCAATCCTGGAACCGCAGTTGAAAGGTTCAAGGGACCCTACACAGTAAAGAAATCACTCGTGTAGTGCTGCTGCCCTTCATGCACATGTGCCCATGTTCCAAAATCTGGTTAGCGTCCGGGTCAAAACGATTAAAAGGCCACACAAAAGACCACTTGACAAGTCATGAGTAAAGGTTAACAACGAAAAAGGAATGCTTCTGTTGTTGCACCTCATATCAATAGCGTAATGATGACCGGAAATCTTTTGATGGTCTTGTGGGGTCTTGTGGGATCTTGTAGGGTCTTTTGGGGTCTTGTGATACTTTAATGAGTCTTGACTGCAGTACCTGCTGGAGGCATGTGCATGGATTTTTGCCAGTGGCTAACGTCTGACTGGTCGAGTAGGTATTTAGCGTAAACTCACTCTCCATACGACGCGCCAATGCATCTAACCAACTGTTTCTGTATTATTCACTACATCGGTTCACATATGTATTAATTTCATTTCACAGAGCTGCCTGGCAGGGAACATCGACTGGTCTATTTCAGTGCTTGACTACAATACTGTTGGTACGCCTTGTTCTTCAGGGCAAAACAGAGACAGTTCTGTGGTCACGGCCTGGTTGGCTACGTTACCTCGTTGAGATGTTTAATCTCGTCCTCTTGCTCCTCCTGCTGTTCTTTGGCCTTCTGGAGGAGGTACTCCGCCTTCTGTTTGGCCTCCTCGTCCAGGTCGTTTAGTTTCTCGTTCTTCTGTCGGGCACGGTCGCGGGCCTGCATCTGCAGCTTGCGCTCAGTAGCCTCCTCCTGCGTGGATTGGACAAAATAAAAATGAAACCCGCGATCTGAGTGTAACAAAGGGCATGTAGGTGACGGTCTCCTGAAATATAAATCCAACGAAGGAATTTCTCCTTGGTCTGAAAGTTGCAAATAGGTAAAGACTGTAACATTCAAGAGAAAAAGGTCCACACTCTCCACTTGGTCTTTTACCAACACGGTTTTCATTATTCTTCAAGCAATTAGCGCCAAGATGCTTCTGAACTTTTTAACTACCAACTGAATGAATCTTTCTCATACCAAGGACAGTCTTTTGTTAATGAACTCAAACTGGACAGCACGTCTGGAGTCATTCAGGTCATATTTCCTTTTCTGTTTCTACTGCGGTCCATCTGAAGAGCTCGCGATTTGAAATCAGACTGGAGGCCTTGCGATGGTCCTGTCGGATCTTGTAACAAGTCACACATACTTCCATGTTAAGCCCCAAACAATGGAAATAAATTGTGCCTGACCCTTGTGTTACAAAGTTTAATTGAACAGAAACCACCGTATTGTTTTTTTTTTCTACCTGTGCTGCCTCTTTCTCTTTTTGTCTCCTTTCCTCGGCGGCGTTGCGCTCCTCTTGCGTCAGGATGCGCGCGGCATTGATAATACGGTAGTACTCCTCACGGGAAAGCACCACGGACTGGCCAGATGGATCTTCCCGGGGAACGCTGCTCAGGGGAGATGGAGGAAAGCAAAAGAAAGTAACGTGGGATGAGGCATGCTGACTGAAGGCTCTTGTCCTCCTACATAAATTGAAGTATTTTCAGCATACATTTTATTAAAATACTCGGCAACCAATTATCCAAATTTAGGCTTGAACCTTGCGAAGGTGGATGCCACTATCCATTTTAGAAAACAAGTACACGGTGGATCTGATGTAAAGGATATAGCTACATGTATGGCTCTGATGACTATTCTGTATCTCGGGTGTCCAAAATTCCAGGACTATTCTGGAGGCTTGACTTGGAAATAAGTATAGAAATTGAGTCTTTGACCGTGTCCAAAATATTTGGGTATGGCTAATATGTCCATGGGAAATGCATGGAGTCATTAACTGGTGACTTCCAAACGTACTGTACATGGGCTATTCAAAGCACTGATAAGTTACTTGGACATGGTCTTGGTATTAAGGCTATCGAGCAGAATTTGAATATTGGGGTCTTCCAGCTAGCCTTGATGTGAACAGGGCAGGACGATTGAAGGATGTTTGACTTTTTATACATCCAAACTGCATAATGACATGTCTAACATGGCCCACAGGGTGTCCAAAAAACACTGTAACACTCCTCAATCCAAAATCTTTTGACACACTGCACAGCACTTTGGCAGGACTGAAGAAGTGTTAAACTGCTTGTCCCACGCATCAATCTACAAGTATTTCTCAGTTTTGGAAGTTTTACTTATATCAGGTTGGTACACAGTACTGTTCCTCACTTTTAATTTCATCGCTTTGCTTTCCAGTGAAAACTTGCCGCTAACTAGAGCAGAAAACAGTTAGTTTATTCACAAGTTAGCTAAATCCTGTAGGAAGGATTCTGTGCTTACTGAGTTAGCACAAAATGTTCGTACTAGCTCTGTAAGCATAGAACATTGACCATAAGTACAAATGTCCATGGTTAGCACAGCCATGAACTTGGGCCTGGACAACATCTGTGAGTGGGTGCAGGCACTCAGCGACCCTTTGACAACTCACATGAGATTTCTGATCAGGTCCTTGGTGATGACTTGTACCACCTCCCTCTTCCCAGGCGTGGTCTTCCTCTTCTCTCTGTTCGTGGGTTGTGTCTCCAGGACAGGCTCGGCCGAGCGGGTCTCGTGGCACCGGCTCTTAGCCACAGCGTTGGGCGTGCCAAAGAGTGACTCGTCCACTGTGGAGCTCTTGTTGACAGTGAAGTACTTGCGGGTATTAGCATGCCGGGAGCCGGAGCTGCCTGCAGACTGCGTACTCTGAACACTACGAGGCTGTGTTTAGAAGGCGAAGAAGGGGTTGGCTTAATCATTTGCAAAGAGATTTCTTAGCGGCAATCCAATAATTCTAGGGGATCAAGCAATGTTTGAATCTTATAAAATGTGAAATGCTGTATTTCCTGGTCGACCTTTTTAAACGGAAGTTATTCAATTTATTTGATTGCTCTGGGAACCCTGAGATCAAAATTAAAATAAATAAATAAATAAATAAAAGAAAAATTTGGAATAAAACTGTGGTATAAAATAAAATGTGTAGACACCAAACACTTTTGCTTAAACACTTGCACAGAATTAAAGAAAAAATTAAACACAGCATGAAACCAAAACATAAACAGGCATGACAGGACACTCCTGAGAGGACGATCCCTCCTCATACTGTCATAAAAACAGAGAAAATGGCCAGATATCACGTGGACTTAAAAACTAGGCCTAGGTGCATACAGCTGCTAGCAGGAGCATACACCTTCTTTTGTGCTAAATACCGATGGAGAAAAGACAAGAGCGAACAGTTTATGGCAAACAATGAACCATTTCCTTGCTCTACGAATAAACCTACCAAGGTTTTCATCATGTTTACCACTGCAACGAGAACTTGAATGACTGCCTGCGCGCCGACCCAACACTGCCCAAACCAAACCTACGTTCAATCGAACAGACCATAAACACACAAAGAATTTAATATCGGAGACGATGAACTACTTACCATTTTACTGCAGGCTGCTTTTTTCTCACAATCAAAGTGATTATAATCTTAATTTTATAAAATTCTTTTGGTGGACAATTAATATTGAAGTGTTTCACGTTTGACACCCTCACTCCGATTAGAGCACAAGTCCAGTACGTACATGAACGTACGCAATGAGTATGCGCGGAAACTATTTACATGGCCGTCGCCCTAGGAACGACAATAAATAACGGAATATCTCGCGTGGATCTCCGAGATGAAGAGTGGCTACAGGTCAAAGGTGAATGTTTCTGAGTTGCATGTGTTTTGTACAGAAGCTTCGAAGAAGTACATGTACATGTGTTTTATTTCTCCATGGTACAATTAAGTGTGAACGTCTTTTGGTCTTTGAATTCGTTGATTTGACTGAAAAGAATGAAATTACTCAAGAAAGCAGCCTTTGTTACACGGCATTTTTCTAGGTGTAGGTATTCAGTGTTACAGGTTTTAGGAAATATATGTCTCACTTAATAACGGGAAAAATATACTGTGCCAGTTTCCGGACAAGGGTTAATTTCTCTTCATAGGTGTCTGCTAGGTTAGCCAAACATTTTTAAAACTTGCAGGACCCTGACTCCACTTTGTTGGTTGAGATCCTTACTTATTTTTTCTCAGGATGACGACATAATAAAAGCAGGATGGTGACATCCTGAGATAATTTATCATAGGATATTAGCATACCGGGATCATTGACACTTGGGAATATTGGTTCAGTTGGAATCAGAAAGGAAATCATGGTTTGCCCAACATTTCTTTGTTTTATTTTACATTGTTTTTTTTAGAGAAATAACAGATTGGTAAATTCGTATGAACATTTTGAAACTATGGTATGCAAAACATGTTGACCATCACCGATCAAAGGCACTGTGGGGTCGTATCGTTGGCATTGCTGATTCCTCCCCCCCCCATGCAAAGCAAGATAGGAGTGCCAAAAATGCTGAGGACTGTTCGTGACCAGGCAACCGATCAAAAATGTATCAAACACTTCTTCTAAAAGCTCTGTGGTTCTTCTGATCTCTTTACCTGGTTAAATGTCTGGCAGGTTTGTCATCAGAGGCAACTGCAGCCAACACTGCCATCACCTCTCAGCAAAATGAGGTCTTTGACCAAGAGAAGGAACGGCAGCTAGCCCTGGTCAAAAGAGTTGAGAAGATCCAGGTGGACTACGTCGGTCCCAATGATGCCTGCAGGCTGGTCATGAACAAGTACCTGTCAACACCTTACAACGTTGCCATGCGTAAGAAATTAAAAATGCACCGTTGGTCAAATTCCAAACTTGTCTCCAAAGCAGTTGGCTACGGCTGTAATATACATGCTTCTATGGAAATAGATGTAGCCATAGCCAAGGTGATTGGTAAAAGACCTCTTGGATCCTCTCACACTTGTTTAATTATGCAGGTCTTTGCCTATGAAAACGAATTAAATTACGTCAGTAGTCTGTCGGGAAATTTGGTCTGTTTTGTTCTCTACTAACATTTCTACAGAGCCATTTCTTTTTATCAGCAGCAGGTCAAATATGATGTACCTCATCCCTGGATTGTGACAACTGGAGAAAACTTTAACAGCTAACATGAGGTTTGGAGGTTTACAGGAATTTCTGTTCCGGTCTGGTAGGAATTTACGAAGGAAAGTCTATGCTCTTTTTTTTTTTCACTGAAGATTTAAATCAGACGTACCTTCGGCGCTCGGCCATCGCCATGGTGAATGGCAAGCCATGGCACATGCTGCAGCCACTCACCGAAGATTGCAAGCTGCAATTCGTCACACTGAAAGATGACGACGTAACAGAGGTCAACCAGGTGAGTCTCTGATTACAATGCCCCCCTTGGTTAATCACGCTGCATGGGGAATGGCTCAAACAGCAATCTACTCAGGGGCGGATCCGGACTGACATTTGGCTGGAGAACTGGGCTGCCACTGTAATCTGAGTGCCTCGGACATAATTCACAGTGCAGTCAACACTGAAATTCTTGTTTGCCAGGAAGGGGTAGGGTTGTACATCTAACCGTCCCCACTGATAAACTCCATCACCACTTTCAAATATCAGATTTGAGTTCTTAACCCTGCTTTGGTTTTACAGCACAAATAGGCACGAGTGCCAACAGTCACTCTCTTGCATGTGTTTTCTATATGGAACACAAACATGCACAGGTTCAGTGTGTACACGGTTGCCAGCACAAAATGACTCAGGGTCTTTTGTGCAGTCCTCTTCACTGCATTTGGTTTACTGCACAATGATGCACATGGAACAGCGAAGCACAGTTGTTGGGCAGCACAAAAGTGCAATCTGATATTCCTGTGAGGGACTGTTGGTGAAGCGCACAACACGACACAGCTGTGCTTCTTTGAGGTGTTTACCAAGTGACCCAAAGAGTGACTTCAGCATAGGAGGGTTTATCTTCATTTAAACGTGATTGCTTTCTCAACTGGAGGGTTTCCTGGTACAATTCAATTGTTATGAAAGGGCTCAAACCAATTGAGTCAAGGGGCCTCCTTATGGCAAAAAGTTGACATGGTATAAAGTCTGTTTCACAGTGAATGACAGTGATCACTCAAAGCTCAGCATCATCACAGCTTGTCCACTCTTACATGATGATCATATCCTGGGATTCCAGGTGCTTGTCACTACATAAGATGCTCCCGTCATGCGCAAATTTTCTTTTGTTTATTGACTGGTATCGATCTCACTTGCGGAATTTTCATTAGAGAAGGGTCGATAGCGCAAGGTTGCAACACAACAAAGTTGCACTTCTTATAAGCGACTCCTCATAATGCACTGCCTTCTTGCCCCCCCCCCATTTTTTGCAGGCATTCTGGAAGTCCTGCTCACTGATGATGGGTGCCATCTTACAGTCGGCCTTCAAAGATGATATTACAGTGGAACTTGCGAGGGCGCCAGACATTCCAAGTATGGCATCTGTATATATAATTCAATGTTTGGTTAACATGAATGAGAAAGCACAAGGCTCAGTGAGCATTTTAAAGAGAAAACCAGGAACTTTGCCTCATCTTTCTCAGTTGATATCCTCCCCCTGTCTTGACTTCAGTTTTATAAAACTTTGATGCTCCGTTCTGTCGGAATTGTACGCAAGAATGTAGGTTGATTTCAGACTTCTAAATTTTCATTAACTACGCTCAGGGTTCAAGGCGTCGGTGTTTCATGAAGTGACAAAAACCTCAAAATCTTGCCAAATGGACAGTCTGAGATAACCGCATTTGAAAATACCAGCCTATGTTTTCTCTATTTTTACCCTGCAAACGATGTGACTTTTTGTCACTTCATGAAAAACAAAGAAACACACAGACTAAGATTTTTGTCAGTTGTTTGTTTACAGTTACTAGGAAAGTAAACAACATTTTGTTTTGAAACTCTGCTAATTTGTTCTTTGGATCACAGGAAGTAAAACGGTTGGACAAACCTCAGATCGAAAAATTTTCAATTTTGCGGGTTTTCATCACTTCATGAAAACACCGACGAAATGTAGCACTGTGCACTGGAAATGTCAAAATAACATAAAGAGTTGAGCCTCTGAATAATAAGCTGGTGCCACCAAGGGCTTGTGAATGTTTGTGTCTTTATGAGAATACTGTTGTAAGGTTGTCACACATTGCAAGTCAAATCAATATCCATCCAATCAGTTTGAAGTCAAGCCACAGGTTATTCAGATGGGCCTTCGCATTGTATACTGTGGCTTTTCCATCAAGTGATTAACCACCTTTATGCGATACAGCCCTGGTTTTTGTACTCTATCCTAGTTTCTGTGGGCTGTTTTGCCTATGATTTCAATCTTCCCTTCAAGTGGGAACCCACCAGGCAGGAGCTGATATGTCTCAATCGCCAGGCCTTCATGATGGTCGAGAGAGCAGTTAATTTTGAGAGATTGGAGGTCAGCCGAGAGGTTGCCCACCGGATATTTGAAGACAATGCGTAAGTGTTGCAGGAACAGGCGGAATTGTTAACGTGTTTCCAAAAAAATACGTGCTTGACTGCACCTTGATGTATGGAACACTCAACGATCAGAAAATGGAAAACTGTTCCTTTTTTTCATGTTGATTTTGGAAGATGGTCTTGCCACCTCTTGTTTAAAGGTTATAATTGGAAACTAGAGAAAATGTGTTTGTGAACAAACACATAGCTGTTCCCAAAATGTGTTTTATTGTCTTTTGATGACTGTCAATGAGCATCATAAGTTTGCAATTAATTGGATTACAAATAATTGCCAAAGTGGCATGTATAACGAAAAACAAACTATCACTGCAATTGAACGTGTAGTTCATGAGATATGATGATTTGTGTGTTAAAATACAACTCCCGGTCAAACCGGAAGTAGAGGTCACATGAGCTCAAGTTATCAATGTTCATCTATAACACAACCCTGACTGTGCATACCGAATTTGAGTGAAATCGGTCAAATAGTTTACTAGTTGTTAGACTGTAAAGAATGAACATTTGAATTGAGGTCACATGACCCCTGATGACGTCACAATTACAAAAAGTTTCGCGGCACATGTTCTGATGATAGTTAATTACTATACCAAGTTTGAAATTGATCGGACTTAAAATAATTGACAAAGTGTCTTGTAGAACAAAACAGTGGAAAAAGAAAAAAAAAGAAAAAAAACTTTAATGATTACAATAGCTGTTCCCGATTGAGATTGGCAACAGCTAGAAAAGTTTTTCTTTGCCCTATCTCTTTAACATTTGACATTTTATCTCCCCAGATATAAGAAGTACCAACTTGAGCACACCGAGGCCGACAGGGTAGTGCTTTTCAGACTCGGTGATTTTGTGGACATCGCTGACGGACCGCTAGTTACGAATACAACATTCATAGGGCCTCACAGATATGTCTTCACTTGTGTAAGTTCAGGAAATGGCCACCAGGGTCTATTAGATGTCAATGTGAGATTTGAATGAAGACGTTTTGTATGAGTGAACTTGGCAATGAAACAATGACTGCTCTTGGAAAAGAGCCCGTTGGAGCCTCACTCCACTGTGTTGAATTTTGGTACTTTCAGGACGCTTTCTTGCAAAAAATGCCCCCCAAAGGGGTTAATTGGTAGTTCACCAATAGGTATTCAGTAACAGTTCACTTAATCAAGAAATATATGAATCAATCAGAATTGTTTGAAAGCATTATAAGAATTCCTGGTTTGTCATTTGTGCCTTGTACAGATTCACAGTATAGATGACTACCTGAAACCCATGGTAAGTCGAGCAATGAACAAAACTGTGAATCTTCCGAAGTATCTAGACCGGTCTACTGAAGTGAAAGTTGTTATCTGCTTATTTTTCATTTCTTTTCTTGTGGTTGTGAAACCCCCCCCCAAAAAAAAAATTGGGCAAACCAGAGATGAAGTCAGGGTTTGATGGTACTTACTGAGTTGGTCTGTTTTAGCCCACAATGAACTTTAGTTCTTAAAGATACTGCTGCGATTTCAAGGGGTGGCCCTACCCGCGGAGTTCCGACATTGATTGATGAGACTGATCTCATGACAGTAATGGTGAATGTGTAAAAAAAACAAAACATGAATTAAATAAAACACCAGTGATGCTGTTCAGACTTAAAAAGTCTAGTTGACTGATTGAATCAGTGAACTTGATGTAGTCTGCATCTGGGTGGTATTTCCAGTGTTATGAAGGTAGGGCTAATGTCCTAGGAAGGTATCAGGTTGTGGTGTTTGAAGACCCACATGAACCCGTCCACACACCTTCTCGCGCACATAAACTGTGACTGCTGCCTGACCCCCTTTGCCTTGTGAAAGATTAGTTGATCTCTTTCAATGATGCTGGTGCCGTTCTCTTTGAACAGAACAAACTGCTGCGATTTCAAGGGGTGGCCCTACCCGCACAGTTCCGAGTTCACCACACGAGATGGAGCCTCCTGGAAGAAAGGGCTCGCAAACCGGTGAGTCCGCTGTTGTTATCCTTTTGAAGCTTTTTCAGGCCGATGGAATTCAGGTTAGAGGAGGTTAACAAGAGAAGGAAACGTCCAGTTCTTATTCCCAAGGAAGCCTACATACCTGATTATATATAGACCAGGATGGCAATCAAGGTGCAGTGCCTACTGATTGATTTTTCCAGGGCATAATATTCGCTCTCCATTGGGGGCGCTGCTTCTGCAATACCTGTTTATTTGTCCGAAGTATTTTTAATCATGGGCTTTGTCCCTTACGCTGGCATATATTTCGTAACCGTATGTACTCAGTGTTGTCTGAGAGCTCGCAAGAAAATTCATGAGGTTGCTGAAGTGGGACTTGTACCCACGACTTCCTGCTTACTCGTGCAGACGTCTTAATGGCTTCTTTGGAAATGGTTTTCTCGAGAAGTGTCTGAAGACAGAGAATATGTGCCTCCTATTGGTGCAGTTATTATGAGGAATTTACTGAATTTTCAAGTGCTTAGGAAAGGGGATAAATTCCATTCCACAGGGGTGCTCTTTCTACAAACTAATTTGGCTTTTTATGGAGGATGTGAATCTGATATTTTGTTGTCCCTTACGCCGAAGTTATCATTTAGAATTCCAAATTGTCCGACCTGGGATAGGCAGCAGACTGCATGTACCAATACCTCCTTAAGGATCACCCAAAGAGAAAGATTACATATGCTCAAAAGTCTCTGGTGCTGGGCATTTTTGTGCTCATTTAAATGAAAATTGATCTTGCATAGTAAGTTTCACTTGTACATTACGTTTTCTCACACCAAGTGAGGTGTTTGAGAATTTCCCATCTATTACTGTTTTCAAAACTTGTCCATTCTATCTCCTCTGACTAGGTTCTGGTTGACTCAGCTCCTAACCTGAAATCCAGTCACAACCAAGAACAAGCACAAGGTGATGCTGCATCATGATACACGCATAGACCCGTTGGGGAGTTGCATAAAGTCGTGAAGCCAGGCTAAACTGGAAGGCCTGTCTTCACAGATTCCTCAGATTCCTGCTTGAGATTTTGAAGGATTTTGTAGGATTGAGGAGGTTGTTGAGCCATGTCACAACTACTTGATATGGGGCTTGATGCATCCTGGATTAGCAAGTATGAAGAATGTACCATTGGGGTCGCACCTCGTGGTGGATTCTGATGGACTTTGGTAGATTTCTAGTGATAAATACCTGATATTGCTTTCATCAGTCTGACCTGTTTTACATCCGTACTCCTTCAAATCTTATTGTAATGGAGCTTCTTTGCAGTTTTAGAAGATCCTCAAAGCATGTTGGATCAAGAGGTAAAGCATTTTTATGCAAATGAAAGGGAACTGAACAGACATTTTTCGTTTGGGATTTCAAACTGAACATTTTTTTAAAATATGCGTGTATTATGTGTCATTGCCAGAGAGTCTTGGGATTGTAAAATAAAAAATTACTGAATAAAATCCCCGTTGTAAAACTTCACAGCTAGATTATCTTTTCCTTCAAAACATTGACTTTGAAAGCTCATAGCAATTACAGACCATCAAAATGCAGTTAAAATAAAAATTGAAAAATGAAAGTGGCGTCCTCATTAAAGAAACTTTTGTACCCTAAATATTTGGCAACTATTGCTTGTGCATTCTTGTGATCTTTATGCGGATATTTTTTTAACTGGAGACGTGGATATTAAATGTGAAGCATTGCTTCGTTTTGGAAGACATCAGATTTCCAAAACCGGCCCTGTGAATGATTTGCGGATGTTCATTTGCCTGAGATGTTGTTCAGTCCTTCGAGCTATTTTGCACATGTACTGATAAAGTCAAGTTCTTTCAAGTTCGTCATTAGCCAGTCATTTAATTTAAGTTGCCTACATGTACAGGCAGTGAAGATAAGTGTTGAAGAGGTTATTGAAGAGGTGGTTCGTATTTTTCCTCCTTTTATCTGTGTCTGGTTTTCTGACGTCAGATTATCTACATCCTTCATGTTCGGATTAAATTGAACTTCCTTTAGTCTTACAAATCACAAGCTTTCTTGTATTTTGAATTGATTCATTAATACAATACAAAGTTGTTTTCACAGTGTTGTAGAACTTTAGTTATTTTTTGTCTGTTATTCGAAAAGCTATTGGGCTAATCCGATTGTATTAATCGGTAACAAAACACAGTTCACCCAAACATGGGATCATTTTCCAGTGGTGTTTAACTGCATTGCAATAACATTGCTTTCGTGACACGGTTTTTTTTTTTTAGCATACCTTGCGGTTACTGGCGCTATTGTCCTCGCTCTACCTGAGTGCCTTCCGTAACGGGCACTCCGATTTGTCCAATATGGAGCTGCGTAATGGGGCATGACGGTTCGGGCCAATCGGAATCGCGGAAAGTCAACTGATTGGGGGAAAGTGGTGCTCAGTCATGCGCATAAGGGCGATTGTCTGTCTCACACACGCCGCAACGGACAGTCTGACGGCCGTGTTTAGGGGCCCTATCAACGGTTGCTATGGCCTAAATGTTTACCCTATTGTTATGGTCCTGCCCCCACTAGTAGCACCATCAATGCCAATCCGGATTCATTCTCCCTTTGTAACCCTTGGCTTCTACATGGCGTAGTCTACATTCTTTGACTGAAAATCCCTTCACTTTTCCATCGTTTCACGTGTTTTTGCCGAGATTTGTATTCTACCTGGATAACTATGGAAATAAACGTGTCATCCTTTCACCGATAACGCCATATTACAGAGACAGTTCGTTTGCAGAGTGGAATCAGATGCTATATTTTATGTAACAATTGAGTGAGAGCTTGGACGTCTTCGATATCGCAGAAACAACGTTCGTCTCGTTTAGCTAGGAGTGAAGTTAAACAGACGTACCAAATTTCTGAAATTGGTAAGTTGAAGCTTGATGGTTTAGAATGAATTTCCGGGGCCTGTTTAGATATGGATGCAGTAAGTCGATCGATGTGTTTAAGCTTGAGTTTAATCTGCAGTGGATCGCTTGTAATAGCAACACCGAGGAGACGTATTCAAGGGAAACCTGACAACCTTGAAAACCATGATGACAGCATTTTCTTCTCTTTTTAAAAATTAAATTCAAAATTTTGACCAAGGCCTGCACATTTTATTCTGTATCTAATATGGCGTATTTTATTTCCTAAGGAACTCTCTTTGATTTGATGTGTAATTCGTAGACGGAAAGAGTTCCATATCCGGACATCACTTGATTAAGTCTTGAAAACCCCATGCACAAACCCTATGAGACTGTTCTAAAAATTCTGTTTTCTAAGTAAATGAAGCAATGATTTCTTCCCTGCTCAATTCTATTTTTAGGACACGTAATCACTTTCTGACGGCTAATAAACCACTGTAGAGGGGAATTACTGATATCCATATTGGAACTCTTAACCAGATGCTATACCCAGATATTTACGTCAGATTTAAATAGGGAAGAGTTATATACATGGACAACACAAATTCTCCTTGAAAATGATACCGGCTGTCGGAAAGTGATAACATGTCCTAAAATGTGAAATTTAGCTGCAAACATTCCGAAGGATTTACTTAGAAAACACTCAGGTTTCAGTTTCACACATCAACGCGATAGGTTTGTGACGTTGTGTGCAGGGTCATCCAGTGTTGATAGTACATATATAGGAAAATCTTTCTTTCAAAATATTCTTTCTATAGGTTTAAATGACGGTAAGGGTCTGCCTATCATGTTTTCTTTGTTAGAAAAATAGGAAACACACGCCGTTGTCGCTTTCCAGTAAACATCTTGCTCGGTAACTTCAAATAGTTCCAGCCGATGTCTTGCATACAGATAGGGTTATTATTCGAACATACATCCATGGCAAATGTTTTACCAACATATTATGAATCAAAAAGGGTGGCAATTTTATGCCAAGCATGGTGAAACGTTTCAAAGTTTTGAAAACCACGCTTGTTGAAACATGGATGGTTAGTTCCAAAATTCGTGTGGAAGTGGGTCTTGTAATTTTTCACAAACGATTTTAAACTATCAATAAAATTGAGCTCTCGATTTGGTTCCAGGCATGTGTGTAACACTCTTTAAAAGGTTTTTAGAGTCAAACACATTTACTAAACACTTTTTTCTGTTATCACTTTTTAAATAATTTTAACCCATGGCACGTTTTATGATTAGTTCAGGAACATGTGTGCTTGTAAATAGTGCATTTAAAAAGCTGAACAGGTACCATGGAAAACCGTTTAAACACATTTCAATAAACAGATATGGGTTAAAGTGGGTACAAAAGTGTTTTAACTCTGAACATTGTTCATATGAAATGGTTTCCGAGGTACATTTATTATGCTATTTTGTAACTTTACCTAATTTCGGTTTTCTTTCGAATAATTTAAACGCGTTGATTTATTTGTTTTCAAGTGTTGATTGTACATGACGTAAGCACGTTTGCCTCAAAACATTTGGCCCCGTTTAAAATGTATGTTTTGAATCCATCGTTTTTATCAAGGTCTTGAAATACAGATATTACATAAATTATACTATGATTTTCGGACATGCTTATATGTCTCTGTGAGTTTGTCTCATTTTTTACGGTTTGATAAACTGGTTGATGTATAGAGGCAGCCATCGGGGTGTGCACTGCTAGTGTGTCGGTCTTTATTGTCAACGCAATTTGTTCTGAGGCGTGGCACTTATTGGACTCATGAATCATCGATGAATAACGCAGGATTCGAAAAACCAAATGGTATTATAAGACATTGATTTTTAGTTGACGGTGGATTATGCTGGCACTGACAAGATGCACTCGTTACGTAACAACGGAGTACAGTAGACATTCCCTGTCCTCTGATAGGTTGCCTGTGAGAACATCAATACACGCAGCGACGTTTGGTCATATCCTAGAAAATGTGCTGTAAGAAGGAAAGATGTTATCACAGAGATTGTGCAAGATCCTGCGTCATCATTTTCAGTGCTTTTTAAAAGCGTTTGCTCTTGTTTCGAAATCTTTTTGAAATCACACAGTTGTGTATAATTAAAGGGACCAAAAAGGTGTTTTCCTTCCATTTGTTCAGGATTTTCAATTCAAAAGCCGTTTGTAAACTTCCAGGTAACATTTATTTTAATAAAGTTCATCTTATTACTGACATTTATAGAACCCATTGTGATTTTTATGAAACGTGCAATTTGGAGGCCATCGGCGTTTTAAAAACCGGTACTTTTATGTGTCTTTAAGTGTGTTTTGTCATTTGCGTTCTTCGATCGAACAAATCATTAGTCCTAATCTATTTAATAATGCTGCCTGCAGCTATACATGCAATTCGGCGTATCTAGCAGCATTGATTGGTTTATATAGGCTGAATAACGCTTTTGTCTTCACCCAACAGGAAAACATAACCTAGATCACCATGGATGCGTCTAGGCACTCAAATGCTGGAACAACAGCCGTGTACTTCTTGGTTTTGTTATTGGGATTTGGTGAGTTTGACTTTTGAATATTGTACAATACGAAGGAGATGGACCCCGTTATCACTTTGAAAGTCTTGATACATGACTGAGAATAGCAACGGAGAATGGCAAAACCAAAGGGGAGTGGTATCTTTCACGATTTTTTTCTGGCACGCAGAAATGTAACGGTTCTCGGCGCGACTGAGTTTTCTATAAACTTAAAGCCAGCTCACGCTCTCGCGAAAGCGAACACAAACGCGACTTCAGTGACGTATGATCACATTTTTGCACTGCGAATTCGCAAAAAAAATTGAACAAAATTTATAACTGGAGCGAAGGTTTGCGGCCAATCGTTTGGAGACGTAAAATTCGCTTCGCTGGTTCACGCCTGCAGTGTGGACCAGCCTTAATACATGCATGTACACATTCGTAATGATGTTCCCTCGGATCACTGTAGTTGCGCAACATACATGTATGACGCATGCGAATGAAAGAACTATGAGATGAATTCCCCACTCTCTAAGCAGATCCTGTTCAGATGAACAGTATATCCAAACGATGGGAATCCGTTTAATATTCATTTCTCAGTGCAATTCTGATTAAATCAATACCGCCATAAACAGACAGTAATTCCAGCTACTCTCTGACGTACCGGTGAGGGCTTTGCTTGGTAACATTGTTTCCCGGATCCTACGCATGTGCATGTGCAGCCGCGATTGACTCCGTGAAGGCCTGGGCACAAACAAGCGATCTTTGTTTTATATCCCTGGTACTGTGTGGTACAAGACAGTGCACTGCTGGGCGATTTGTTTTGCAGTGCGGGATACTCGGCTTAACATTATCTAGTCAGAGCCATGACACTTGTACCCAGCAAGAAATGAGACCGAGGGGTACCCCCCCCAACATGTCCAATCCCTATTCACATTCCAGACTATTGTTACTTAGCACATCCCCCCCAAGATGTCTGAAAGGAATTCCCCAGATTCCTTCGAGACAATGACCAACACAAAGCAGGGGGGTTCTCTCCGTCTCATACCTTGCTGCATATGGTGACCGTCACTGGTGCCTCGTTAAGCTTCGTATTTAATCCTACAATTTGTTTTGAAAATGGCCATTGCAGTGTAAACGAGTCAATTTTGTTCGAACAATGTGTTATTTCAGCTGGGGCACAGCAGGCCTTCAGTGTCCAGCCCACGGACACCCAGGTCACCGAGGGGAACACCGCGACCCTCCGCTGCTCCGTCACCAATAAGGGCGGGACCCTGACCTGGACTAAGGACGGCGCGCCGGTCAGCGTGGAAGGGGCCATCATCGACACCACCAACACGCGGTACTCCATCCAAGGGGACGGAGTCTCGACCTACGACCTGCAGATTACCGAGGCGGTGTTGGCTGACTCAGGGGACTTCCAGTGTCTGGTCACGGCGGACGGTGTCGGGTCTGGCGAGATTCTATCCGACGTGGCAACGTTGACCGTACTCGGTATGCCTCCATTGAATCTTCAAACTCTTTTCATTGATTTATATTTCAAACATTACAATACAAATTCGAGTCATATTCAATGCATGTATGAACTACAAGTAAAGGCAAATTTTGAAAAGCAAAGTTTCATTTTATCGTTCACTGTAATTTTCGTTACAGAGGTCCAAGGCTTCATTAGAGTTCCCGGTGATACCAGTGTTGCTGCCGAAACAACTGCCACCTTGGAGTGCCAAGTCGACAACAAAGAGGGCTTCCTCTATTGGCTGCAAAACGGCGAGATTATCAGCAACGACACAGTTTTAACCAATGGCAACGCTCGTTACTCCATCAGCGGTGACCAATCGGCGGGCGAGTATAATCTTGTGATTGTCTCTACACAAGACGGCACCGACGAAGGATCATACCAGTGCGTTGTGACGGCCGCGGGTACCAGCGCGAGGATTGAATCACGAGTCGCCTCACTGTCAATACAAGGTACGAAACATTCCTTTACTTGAATTTCCATGGAAGTCCAACAATAAATTCACGGAAGCGCCTGGGCGTGTGAAAGTTGAATGGCCTGTAAAATGATAAGAATTGTACAAAAATGGTAAAACTCTGGTGGCGAAACTTTAGAACATAGCTCTTGGTTACTGTGTTTGAAACAGTTTTACGTCAATCCATTCACTTGTCACTTGATCTCAGGCTAGATGATTTATTCTGACCTAACGTCAAAATGTGGTCACTTTACAAACCTGAGTCAGATCTAAAGCATGTCCCTCCTCTCTGTTTCTCGGGTGAAGGTACGGGCCAGCGGCTGACAATTGTGCCGTCCAACGCCGTCTTCGTCGAGGGCACCACAGCCCTGATGAGGTGCAAAGTGGTCGACAAGGCGGGCACACTGTCCTGGCTGCAAAACAGCCAGGCAATAAGCTACGACCGGGAACTTGGACTGGCCAACACTAGGTCAGTTTGGGCATCTCCTCTGCTATTTGCTTGCTTTTATTGTTTTGTCTTTTTCATCAAGACATAAAAGGATGGACTGGGCCTATTTTCCGTAAATCAACGGGCCTGTTGTATTTTCGTCCTCCTCGCTTTCATTGTTTTAATTTAAGTCAGTGTTGTCATGTAAACGAACAGCTCAAAGTGGGCAAAATGCTATCGTAGCTGAACTAACAATAGTTAAATTGCTGACTACTGACACCTCCGAGCAAACCTTTTTTGGCGTAGTTGCATTTCAGTGATAACCTTTCGAAGAAGTTCAGTTTACTCATCAGGAAATCTATTACGTTGCTCCTCGTACGTGTTTGCTGCTGTCTTCTTACGGTTCCTTGTTTTCTTTGGCCCCGGTGTTCAGATATTCCATCGTTGGCGATGAGGCTGCAGGGGAGTACAACCTTCAGATCGAGGACGTGACTTCAGTTGACACGGGCACCTACCACTGCATCGTCAGTGCAGCCAGCGGTGCTGGGAACGAGGCCATTTCCTCTAGCGGAGCTACGCTCTCAGTCACCGGTGAATACCACTTTGTTTTTTCCATCCTCGTCGCCACTTTGTCGTGCTCATAATTTATCGGACGATATTTCATAGACAAAAACAAAATGCGCTCCATTTTATGCGACGTCTAGCACAACATAGGCCCAGTACCATTCCGTCGATGTTGTTTTACTCAGAAGCTATGGAAATTGACTTCAAGACATAGGCCTACCTTTCTCATCACTCCCGGGAATTGTTGAAGGAGTCAGGCTGCAGAGGATTCTTGCTTGACTGCACGGCGAAGGGATTTTGGGGGCCTGTATAACTTTCGTCTCAAAGGAGCCACCTCAGGATTTCTTTTTGTGAAAGAATTCCATGACCATTTTCTCTCAATTATTTGGTTTTATTGTCAGTTTTTCTTGTTCGTTGGTCTCGTTTCTGGTTTCGTGGTTTTGCAAGTAATAACAGTTACACGACGTCTGCTGAGTAAATGACGGTTTTCGTATCTTTATTTCCTTCCAGCCGCCACCGCACCTGACGACGGATACCCTCTCTGCAGTATGGTACCCTCCACCGACCTGATGGAGGGCGACAACGTCACAATCTCCTGTACTTCACGGGGAGGCGAGCCCCAGCCTAAGCTGGCCTGGCTCCTGGACAACCTGGAGTTCGATGGCAACTACGTGGCGCTGGACCTGAATGCGCGCAACGACGTGAGCTTCCGGCTGATCAACAACATGATCGGCGTGGTCTTCGAGTGTCTGTCCAGCCATCCGGCCTACACCACCACGCAGAAGTGCCAGTTGCCCCCGCTGGCTTTTGAGCGTAAGTCGTGACTTGGATTCCTCCGCAGAGCCAGTTTGGCATTCCAACAGTGCATGCCCAATAATGAAGCGCGTACGAGGTCGTTCGAGAACATCAATGCGGGCACGCAATGTCTGCCCTATACGCCAGCCATGCATGGACTCGTTGTTCTCGAACGACCTTTCTCTTTTGGAAATACCGAACTGATCCATTCAAGACAACCAAGTTCTGCGTTTCTAAAAGTTCGAGCGACGAATGTCAACTAATGGTCGATTTTGTCGGGTACCAACGATATATTTTGGGCACAGGTTGCCCAAACAAATGGGCTGGTTGTCGACAAAATGGTCCTCTCCTCCCGTATGTTTTGCCTACCATTTATAGTTACTGCCAGTATAGCATCTTTCCCAAAGCCCAACGGAGCAGATCAAACAGCACAAATAACACCCAAGCACAGACATCAATTAATCCAGAGGTCAAAAAAAAAAATAAAACTGCGGATTCAAGTTCTGACAATTTAAATTGAAAAAGTGTGAAATCGGTGTGATGTATTTTCCCGAAAATTCCATATGCTTTCTAAGCGATGCTTTAACATCTGCATTAAGTGATTATCTGACCGCTTTTCAGTTACACCAGCGAAGATAAAACTACTGCCCAGCAAAGTTCAAATCGTCTCCCTCTTTCTTTCTCTCAATTAGTTACACCCACCATCCAAGTCTCTTTGGACACGCTGACATTGGAGATTAAGGAGGACGAGACAGGGTCGGTGGAGTGCTCGGCCACCGGCGATCCCGCCGTGCTAGGATACGGTTGGTCCTACAACGGTGTCCAGATCGCCGATACCGACGAGCGCTTCCTGATCACTGAGGATGGATCGTCCAAATCCACGCTTACCATCACCTCGGCGTCGCTTAGCATGGACGAGGCGGTGGTCTCCTGTGAGGCTAGGAACAGGATTGATACTGAGAGCGTCTACGCGGTCGTTAGAATCATAGGTAGGCCTATGCGGACAGCATTCATTTTAATAACAACAGACCATGGTGACATGTTGTGTGGGATTATCCCGAGACAAGGGAGTGCAGTGCCTTTAAGTTTTAAGTTCAATTCAGTTTGAACATGTAAACGCTAATTTGTCAAATGGACTTGTATATTAAAGACTTCTACAGTAGAATACGTGTACATGTATATAGTTTAAAACCCATCGGGGAAACACAGATCCCCCCGGGTGCACGTTGTTACAGTTTGCAATTAGAAAGATTCCATCTGTTCAAGCCAAAGACAGGCGCATTTTGTAATTGGAAACATCAGTCTGCAGATCAAAATATCAAAAAAGGTTCTCTTCCCATCCTTTTGATATCGATTGATGAGCGCTTATCTTGTTCACAACCTGCAGAGGACGACCTGTACCAGATAGTCCTTGCCGTCTTAGCGTTGATCGCCCTCTTTGTCTTCGCTCTGATCATCGTACCGATCATTGCTTACTACTGCTACCGCCGTCACAAGAAACGAACACAAGGTGAGGCCAAACTTCTCTTTATGTTTTCCCTGGATCCTTCTTCTCCATCGGAAAACTTGGAAGAAGTTTCTCCTGATGATATTAACTTACCTCTGTGCTGGTATGGAACGATTTTCGGCCTTGCAGAGGAGTGCTGGGATTGAGGTTATTCATTTGCCCACACGTCTGATCTCGGAAAGACAGATCTTATATTCATCTTCTACATGCACTTTTCCTTTAGTAGCAAGCTAAGACCCGTGAGGAACGGGTCTGTTTCTGGAGTTGACAGTCAGTGATGCTTTTAATGTCTGGTTCATACATGCTTACTTTGATCGTTGCAGAGGGTATAGATTTTTTGCGCTCGTAACTGATAACAGGGAAATTTAATTCTAAATTCGGTTCCTCTTTTTCCTAGTTGCTCCCATTGAAAACGGTCCAACGACAATCAGCGGCACGAAGGTCACCTCCAACTACTTCATCACGGAGGAGACAATCCCCAACGGTCATGTTAGAAAGAACAGCCGCAGCTCTAGTAAGCCCAGAGTCCTGGACCACGAGACCAAACACGTCGACAGCCCGGACGAGGGTAGCTACGGCAGCCCTACGCCGCTGCCAGATCTGACCGGTCGAGGCCGGTACCCGCAGCCCATCCGCAGCCAGACCCCGGAGGGGTTTATGATGGACTCCATGGATTCGGCTCGCGGCGGGAAGGTGGGCTCCTACGACGTGGAGGCCGCACGGGCACGCAACGAGGCCGAGATGCAAGGCAGCGGCAAGACGCCGCTACCGTCCTCGTCGCGTCGGAGCTCCGTGTCCCGCAGCGGCCCTGCCCCGCTCAACAACAAAGTCTCGCTGTCGCCCGGCGAGTACATGGTCAGGGACGAATACGAGAGGAAACTGAGGGAGCTGGAGTCAATGAAGAAGAGCTTGACAGACTCTGGAATGATACAGGATGACGCCAAGTCGAGGAAGTCCAAGGACGGTGGAGAGAGGAGGAAACACAAACATAAGAAAAGAGATAAAGAGAAAGACGAGAAAGAAAGAGACGGCCATAAGGTACGCCTTGAAATTGTCATGATTTCCAAAGAGAAGCTTCAGGTTGAGAGTTAGAGAAACTTTGGGGCTGACAGTCTCAATCATGTGAAAAAATGGCTGTTAATGATTTAGCGTTCTTATTATTTTTAATGTTATAATATCATTGGTCACTACTCGTACATGTGTGCTTACTGTGTTGTTGATTTTGATTTCCGACGCATTGTTGATTTGTTGATACAGAAATCCAAGTCAAAAGAGCACAGGGAGCACCGCGACAAGAAGGACAAGAAAGAACGTAAGGAGAAACGGGAGAAAAGGGACAGGAAGAAGGATTCGTCGAGATGAAACAAACACGTCATCCCTAATATCCACCAATGAGCGCTGCGTTCTGCTCCAACGTCACTGACCACTGTCCAATCGAATGACTGCCAGGATGCAGCTGATGCTTTGATCAAGGACCCAGCTAGGGTCCAGATATAAAAAGAAGATGCACTTTTATCAAGTACTCTGAGAAATTACTCAGACAGTAATCGACGGTCCTGCTCTGGTATAACCAGTACCGTTGGGGGAAGAGTTTGTACAAAACGAGTGACGATAACACTGCAACTCACCTGTAACCATAGCGGAGAACAGTGTAAAAAATAACAGTAGTAAATTTGGTTTGATTAATGAAGCGTGAAAGCAATCATGCCCAGGAGGACTTACATTATGCATGTTTAATCGTCAAGAATTGCCATTTTCAGTTCGACATGTGATTGTGTAAATCATAAAGAGGAATTGGTTTTTGTCGGGGAGATGCTGTTGTCACGGTTTTCAACTGAGTCACGTTTGTTTTTTTTAAATTCTGAAATTGTCATTTGGGCATAGCCTATTCTTACTTGGGCAGTCGAACTGAGTGAAGATGCTTGCTTCTGTAGATCACTACAGCTGTGACAAAACCACGGCTTTTGGTAAAAAAAGGAGTTACTGGGAAAAAGCCCCGAAGAGCCGCAGCGGAGACGAAGATTTGGAAATTCCTCTCGTGTTTGTGGCGTCACTCCGTGACTACGTGAGCTGACCACCTAATGAGGCTAATACATGTACATTGTATTTTAAACAATGGAGTCATATCGTAGGGTTATGACCCAATTAATAATCTTCACTCTCTCCTTCAAACGACATATTAGGCCTATACATGTAAATGTTCACACGTCTGTACTGGGACATGGTAACACCTTTCCAGATTCAGGGTTATTCTCAGCGAAGTGTGTGTCACTAACTATTGTATACATTTTCGGTTTTTGTTGTGTTGGGAGTGGGGTTACTGGGGTTACTGTGCACGACTGTTAAATCGTCATCTTCGCCGCAGTGAGATCAACTCTTTTGAGAAAAGTACTCCAAGTTACGGGAGTTAACACGGAAGTCATATAACGGGAAGAACATAAAACATTTCATCGTCATTAACGGATATGATAGCGCCTTTGCTTTGTCGTCAGGAAACTTCCAATATTTTCGGTTCGTTGCCGTGGGTTTATCTGTAATGTGTCACTTTGTGCATGAATGTTGGGAGTACTGTTTTGAAACAAATTTTTAAATAATGCCTTGTAAACATGTATATGAGATTAAATATTTGTACATTTTTTTGTATAAAACTTTGAATAAAACACCATCGTTATTCAATAAACCTAGCTACTAGCTCGATTTTTTGGGGTCAAGCGTACACTTATAAGTGCTTCCAATACAGATTCATTCACAACATGGTGCCATCGAATAACTTCCTTTTCAAAGTAGGGAAAGTGGACAGTGATAAACGTACTTTTGTTATGATGAAGAGGAAACAATGAATAACCTAATGTGGTTTTGTGCAACAGTTATTTCCTTTTTGCCTTCGGTCGGCACATGTACATGTCCTTACATGTACTGGTTACATTTTCGGGCTTAACAAGTTAGAAACCCCCAGATCTGCAAATTGAAAAACGCGGCCAGAGAATTAGAATCAGCATAATTAATTAAATTAATGTTGAAATCACCAGTAATACAACAAACTTTTTTATCAGGGGTCATTCGGACCAACTGATTTTAAAAGATGTTTAAAAACTCGATATAACTTGTTCTTGGAGGCTTGTACAAAACTCCTGCAAGTCTTTGGCCTTTGGAACTGAGTTTTCAATAAACAGAGACTCAAGTATATCATTAGAACAAGTAAGATCCTCACGTATTTTAAACTTCAAGTCACAAGCAACATATAATACAATACCTCCTCCAGTTTTACCCTGTCTATTGTTCGTAATAAGCTCATAACCTTCAAGATGAAAATAGCTGTGGGGGGCACTTTTAACCATGTTTCAGTAAGTGCGATGATAAAAAAACTGTAATTGATCGAGTCTAAGAAAATCTTAACTCATCAAAATGTTTAGGCAAAGTACGTATATTAAGATGGAGCAATGATAACCCCTCTTTATCATAATTACATTTGTAAACTGATCTGCTGAGCAGTACTGAGAATTATTCAACAAATTAAAAGGATTGTAGGGATCAGAAAACACATTGCTAACATCATCTTGGGAATCAAAAGTGGAAGGATCAGTACAGGAGGTGCTTGCATCTAGACCGGAGTAATTATGCTTATTCATATCAAAAATAGTCAAGTAAAAGTCATCATCGTCTAAGGAATTGAAAGGAAAACATTACTGATGCACATATGGCATGTCCAAGGATTATCATCTCTAGCAAGAATATGATAATCATTTAAGGTTAAGGAAGTGCATTTTAGGTGTATCCAGGTTTCACAATTGTTACAAAATATCCCACGCTGATAATAGATTTTACTGCCAATTTACAAGATGCACAGGGAAACTTTAAAGGCATAAGTGAGTACAACTACAAAAACTGTAACAAACCCACAACAAGCAACAATGGACAATGAAATAATCAAATAAGAAAGATTTTACGAAGATATGAACGGAATAAATTTATATACCAGTGAGTTGCAGGGAGCTACATGTATCGTTTATCCTGATGAAGGCACAAATCGACAAACAAGAACTTTGTAGGGATACATTAATACAAATACCAGCCAATGGCTAGAAGGCTATGCCCCATAACTCGGGTGCACTTGCACAATTAGTCAACTGAATTTATAAACTCACAATTTAAAGACATCTTCCTTAGAACCAATGACCAATCGTGCACCGTCCTTCCGCCGTACTTCGATCATGCCATCTTGGGTCCAGGTCTTGTCGGTCAACGGGTGTCGTTTCACTGTGGCTGTACAGCAGCCTTGACGTTCTTTAGTAAGGCTTTCGTAGACGTGAATGTTTGAACCTCTGAATTTGAGTCTTAGGCGGTAAAATGCAGCACGCGAGTTGCAGTATACAAACTTAACTACGGTCGATCCCGCGGTTTTCCGTCTTTATCCGTACGAGAGCCAATACGGTGAGAGCGATCTAGAGCCTCAGCACGTAGTTCGAAATCAAGATGCTGCTTAGCTACTCGAATGATCTTCTGATCGGTGTTCTCGGGCTGTGGCGTTTCTGGAATTCCATGAACAATGAGACAGTTTCGCTGGGAGTATTGTTCTTGGTCAGGAAGTCGTTCACTAAGATGGCGGACCTCTTTCTCCAAACTGGCAATTTTCTTATCCCTGCTAAGTAGCTCCAACTCCAAGGCCTTGTGGATATCCTGGGAAACAGTATCGGCAATGGCACTAGACAAGGCAGGTATCAGGATGCCCAACAGTTCCTGAGATCTCAGCACCTCGGTGATAGCAGCTGTTAAGGCTGCCAGCTCAGATGGAATAACCTCACCAGTGCAGGCTGGTCCCGACGTCGTGGTTGACGCTGGTCTTTTGGGCATGTTGAAGAAAAGCTTGAAAAATACAACTTCACTGCAGCTCAAAGACCATACACTTCAGATTTTGATGTGTGTGGATGTCTGTTGAAACTACTTGGAGCCCTTCATCGAGGAAAAACAGGAGAAAGACTAAAAAATGAATAACTTGTCGGGAGCTACCGCAATACACGTCCGTTCGGTCTGGTTACATGTTTGAGACCGAGGCAAAGCTGAAATGTTCAAGTGAAGCTGTGATC